CTCTCCCTCATTGCCATGTTCAAAAGTCATGTTTTGATGAAACAAACGTGAAATAAATCTAAACGTTTGATTCTAACATAAGTACTCTCTTTTTTCTTTTTTAAATGAAAATAGTTTATGCACTGTTCTTTAATATTACTAACCCATACTTATGAAGATATTGTGAATGATGATGAAAATTATTTTGCCAAAAAATTCAGGCCAAAGAGAGATTTATTAGAGTTTGCCCCGAACTCTCTAATCTTATTTGGATTATATCGGTGCTTTAATTCTACAAAATTTCCTTGATACAAAAAATTTTTTGGTGGAAAAGATTTCCTTGTTGGAAAAGTGTATTTAGTTAATGTTTATCTTGAAGGAAAAATTTTGGACTTCTAAAGATCATTTCTAAATATAATATTATTCACAATGTAGTCATTTAAGAAAAGGTTAATTATTCTCTGAATATTTTAAATATTTCTTTTATATTAGTTATTTCATATGTGGCCAATTGATCAAACTATATCAAAATATTATGTTTCTTTTAGTTTAGTTTTTTTGTCGTTAATTTATCGCCGTTAATATTTACAATTACTGCATGACAATATGTTTACTTTGATCCCAACAATTTTAATTTTTAAGCTACCCAAGATAATACAATCATAAGGGATAATGACATCCATGCCCTTTATATCTGAAACTTGCTTATATTTATGAGCAACTTACAAAAATGACTGTACTTTAAGGGTTATAAATTGAAATAGCCATAAGTATGTTATTTACATAAAATGGCTATACTTTCTAACTTAATATAACCGTATTCTATGCCTGCCCATTTTTTTTGATAATACATTAATATATTTAAAATTATAAAGCACTAAATAAGGTAAAATTTCTTATTTATAATTGACAGGCCTTTAACTAATCTCTTTAAACTCTCAATTTTCCATTAATCAATTAACAAGTCATAATTACCAATTAACAATGATCTGCTTTGATTCTTTTCAATTTTTTTAAAATAATTGCTCCATTTTTCATTGCTCTTATTCATGAATCGAAAATAGTTTAATTCAATGGCAAGCCTAACAGTATTGATCAGACATGCTGAAAAATGAAACGATGAAAATTGCTATATAGAATATAGTATTGATGGAATCGTATTGAAAGAATATACTTCGTATTCTGATTTAGTTGAATTAATTTCGGGCCAATTGAACATTGATCTGACTACAACGTGTATCACCATCAAATACAATGTCAAAGGTAATGATACTCCTGTGAAACTATGCAACGATATGGGAGTACGGGTATATGTTCAGTCGAATCCAAGTGACAACGACATATGAAAATCCAAAACAAGTGGCAATGAAATGCACTATAGTCTATAGGTCTCCAATTGTATATGTAAATATCCAAGTACATATAAATTGTTTAGTATAAAAGATTTGAAAAGTATAAATCTCAATTTCTTTCTTTTAGTCACATTAGTACACTATAAAGTATACAAGTATATATGTATTCAATTCTATTAATATTCATACGAATGCAATAATATACTAACATAGATTGACAAATAATCAAATGCAAAGTATTAATGTATCATGTAAATCCGCTTAATGTGGCAAAGTGAAACTAATAATCAATTGACAATGAAACCTATTCACTAGAAGTATCCAATTGTATATGTAATTATCCAAGTATATATGTATTGTTTCGTTCTAAAGCTTGACAAGTACAACTTGTATCTAATTGTATTTCAATGTCTTGCATTGTTCAAATTACTACAATAGAAGTATCAAGAATTATATGTATTCTACTCTACAAACATTCATATGGATAGAATGACTGACTAACATAGAAATGTAAGTATTGATGAAGATAAAAATGCATACATAGATACATGTGTATCCAACTATCTATGTATATTAGTATTCTACTATATACAAAATTGACATTTTCACAATCATTTGATCTCTTTTTGCTCATGTTCTTTCGGTACTCATTTTTTTACAACTATATATATACGAATTGAACTTGTTTAACTATTTCAATACAAGATGAAGATACATAAAAAAAAATGACAAGTATACCTCTCTCTATTTGTATTTCAATTTCTTATATTGTTCACATTAACACAATAGAAGTATCCAAAATTGTATGCATTCTACTCTACAAATTATCAATATGAATGCTATGTTCGACTAACACGGAAATGTAAAGTATTTGATGAAAGTTATAACAATACAAATATACATGTGTGTCGAACTATGTATACAAGTATTCTACTGTATACAAAATTGACAATCACACAACCCCTCAACAATTTTTTTCCTAACTATATACATACAAATTCAACTTGTTAAACTATTTCAATACTAGATGACAACACATAATAACAATTTCACATAATGAAAGTGTGTGTGTGTGTATATATATATATGACATTATTCTAAAATTATAAGGAACACAAACTTCAATCTCGTTTTCCTCCGATTCTTGTTGAACTACTCTTTTTCCACTACCACCTGAATCAACATTGTTGACTTTTTTTTTCTAGATTGGTTTTCACTTTTAAAGGTTTTGAACCTTCTTTCCTCTTTACTGATTTTGCATGTTCGATTTCATCACACAACTTCAATGGTATAAGATCATTAACCTTCTTTGTTCTTCTTTCTTTCTCAATCACAATAATAGATCCTAAAATTTTGACTTGCTCTTGAGTAATATACAAATCAAAAGAAGGTATTTCATCCACTAATTTGTCAAATAAATGTATACATTTTGTAACCCTTCTCGGAGTACCACTTTCAACCATTGTAATGGAGAAACAAAATCTTCAATCGAAACCCTATGAAAAATAGATGAAAATATGTATGTATACAAATATAATCTTCATAGAATCAAGAAAAAAACTACAATCATGTGAAACATAATTGATACACACCATCAAACTTTTTCTGAAATCGTGCAAAATGATAATGAATCGGAAGGAATAATTTGGGGAATGAATAAAAAAATATTAATGTAGAGAATTTGAAGAAAGAGAAAATGTTGATGATGACAAGTTTGATGAGATAGAAACAATGAAAAAGGAAAATATTGATTACAACCGTTTAAGAAAGATGAAAATGTGCCTGACTAATTAATTATTGTGTAATAATAAACATCCTATTTAATATTTATTTTTATTTATTATGTAAAAAAAACAGATTATTTATATATCATTAGCTTTGCTATTAATTGTGTATTTATATCCATAATTTTTATTTTTTTTTTAAATGTAGCCATTTGTCTTAAATATATATTGATGTTTGCCATATTCTGTAATTTTTCCTATATAATAAGCTTCAAATTTTGGCTAGCGCAACATTTACTTCAGCTATACAACCTCAACTCTTTATTATCTAATATTTTTTTCTAACCGACTGATGTCGAAGAATTAACGGATATGAGTTGTGGTTAGGGTGAAATGTCACTATATACATATTGTTATATATTGAACTGAGCATATATATAACAAACCGTGGAGGTGTAGAAGTATTTTTTATGTGTAAATAGTTATATATAAAGTCAATGTTACTTCCCTTCCATGTGTATACAAAATCTATAATAAATATGTTTCAAATCTTCATCAATAACGTGGTACCAAGTACCTCCAAGAGGAGATCTCCATAAGGGATTTATCATCCCTTTATTTCTTTTTTTAATTGAATTGGTTGTTTTGAGTAATACATTTGTAAACAAATATTCAATCTTTAGTTGCATATTTTAAGTTTTGTGCTCTTTATTTATTATGATGAACTATTCAAAACTAATAGAAAATTGTACCTTGGTTTTTAAGCATAGATTCACTCCAAAAATATGATGAAAATGAAATTCATTGGGAAAACGGTCAGATATATATAGCACTCCTCAATTTTGAGATTTAGAGCAGTTATACCTCTCTTTACTAAAGTGACTCACATATACCCCTACAATTACATAAATGACCATAACTAATCATGACATGTGAGATGAAATGTGTATTGGGTAAAAAAGTAGTCAAGACACGTAACCATATCTAATCATGATGTAAAACGTAGTGAAAATTACTAAAAAGCAAAATTGGACAAGAGAGTGACTGAGTCATAGAATGACGTGTGGAAGGTAATATATAAAAACAACGACCATACCCCAAAGTTTGAGGGCACTTATTGTTTTTGTGGTATATTACACCAACACTATTCACTCAACCATCTAGAAGATAAGTTCATATAGTTTAGTATACTTTTTGGTATAGCCAACTGTACTTATGTTCCAAATATTTAAAAGACTAATTATCATAAGGGTTAGTTCTGGCTTGCCTCTTGCTTTCTCAATAATCAATCAATAAATTTCCAGTGTTAACATTTTAAAATTGATCAGGTCTTAAATCCTTTCACTAAACATCTTGTGCAGACTGATTAATTTTCCTAACACAATGACTTAAGTCTGTTTTTCACAAGAAGAACCAACTGATTTTTCTTCATAATCGCGCATTATTTGCACAACCTGAGTAGTAAAACATAATGAAACTACAAGATTTACGTGCAACTATCGTCTTTCTTCTATCCTTGCTAGCAATTCTTCCTCACATTATTGCTAATCTTGATTCAGACAAACATGCTCTACTTCAATTTGCTGCATCTGTCCCACATCTTAGAAAACTCAACTGGAACTCTGCTTTGTCAATCTGCAATTCTTGGATTGGGATCACTTGCAACAAAGATGGAACGCGAGTAGTTGCAATTCATCTGCCTGGTGTTGGACTTACTGGCCATATCCCAGCAAACAGCATTGGCAAACTAGATGCTCTCCAAGTCCTTAGCCTAAGAGCAAACAATCTAAATGGAAATCTTCCTTCTGATATTCTTTCAATCCCTTCTCTTTACTCTATCTACCTTCAACATAATAACTTCTCTGGTGATATTCCTGTTTCCTTTTCATCAACACTTGGTGTAGTAGATCTCTCGTTTAACTCTTTTACCGGAGAAATTCCCCCCAAGATCAAGAATTTGCCTCGACTATCCATGTTGAACCTAAAGTTCAATTCACTATCTGGATCAATTCCCAATCTTGATGTGTCAAGGTTGAGTTTTCTGAATTTGAGTTACAACATGTTAAATGGCTCAGTTCCATATTCCCTCAGGAAGTTCCCACTTTCTTCTTTTGTGGGGAACTCTAATTTATGTGGAACACCTTTGAGTAGCTGTTCTTCGAGATCTCCATCACGTAAAGGTGACAACTTTAAGAAACTTAGTAATGAAATTATCATTGCAATTGCAGTAGGTGGTCCTTCTGTTATAATTCTCCTTGTTTTATTCATCTACTTCTGTTATTTTAACAAGAAGGTTGATAACAACACAAGCATGGTTGAAGAGAAGAATGAGAAGTTAGAAGACTTTGGAAATGGGGTTCAAGATTCTGAAAAGAACGAGTTAACTTTCTTTAAAGGGTGCTCTTATAACTTTGATCTTGAGGATCTGTTAAGTGCTTCTGCTGATTTTCTTGGTAAAGGGAGTTATGGAACTGCTTACAGAGTTTCTTTGGATGAGGTATCGATGATAGTTGTGAAAAGGCTGAAGGAAGTAAGGGTTGTTAAAAAGGAGTTTGAACAGCATATGGATATTGTTGGAAAGATTACAAGGCACCCAAATATAGTGCCATTTCTTGCTTGTTATTACTCAAAGGATGAGAAACTTCTTGTTTGTGAATACATCCCTTATGGTAGCTTGTCATCCGCCTTATATGGTATAAGCTCCTTGACTCTTCTTATATAAAACTACTTCTTAGAACAGATCATGCTTGCTGCACATTATGCTGTTAATAGCTATTCCAATTCCGGCTTTATGCTTACATGGTCTTAGCTTAAATAGAGCGACATGATTATTGGTGGTGATTCATATAGCCGAGTAGTAGTTGTTGTTTCGTACTGTTACATGATCTTGTTTATAACTAGCTATATGCCTACTGTTAGCTTGTCAACAGCCTTGCATGGTATACAAAATTACACTGTTTATACATGATTAAAATTACTATTTATGTATATATAGTAGATGTTGAACCCTTATGGCTTTTGCGTCTTTTGAACCTCCTAAGTGAAAATCTTAGCTCTGTCACTGACGGTATATGTTGCTCAACTCTGATTGAAACTGCAGTGTCATCGATCACTTGCTACAGATTATTAATGATTCCTGTTTTGGGCTTTATTTTTACATGATATTGGTTATAGCAGGTAATGGAAGAACTCGACTAGACTGGGATACCAGATTGAAGGTCTCTCTTGGAGCAGCAAAAGGAATAGCACATATCCATTCTGAAGGTGGAGTGAAATTTACTCATGGAAACATCAAAGCATCCAACATACTTCTTACAAGGGATCTAGATGGTTGCATTTCTGATTTTGGCTTAAGCCCTTTAATGAATTACACAGCCATCAAGAATAAGGCTGCTGGTTACCATGCTCCAGAAGTGATTGAAACGCGAAAAGGCACACAAAAATCAGATGTTTATAGCTTTGGAGTGTTGGTACTTGAGTTGCTCACTGGCAAATCTCCTCTGCCATTGCCAAGGCACGAGGACGTAGTCAATTTGCCTAGATGGGTACGAGCTGTTGTTAAAGAGGAATGGACAGCTGAAGTTTTTGATGCAGAGCTGATGAAGTACCATAATATTCAAGAAGAGATGGTGCATATGCTTCAAATTGCACTTTTATGTGTAGCAAAGGTGCCTGACATGAGGCCTTCAATGGATGAAGTGATTAAAATGATTGAGCAAATTAAACATCTATAATCAGAGACAAGATCTTCGATTCTCCTGATCGAATGAACCAAAAAGTTTCAATTGATTATGGAGAATGCAATAATATGTCCCTGAATTAGACAGTGTTCTACCACGAGCTCTTCTCCTCGTGCTAGTCCAATGATACAGACACAAATAGCCGACTTACTTGTAGCTAGGAGTCTTAATGGTTGTGTTTATATATGTCAATATATTCTCTCATGTTGTATCGAATAATGAATAAGAAAGCATGATTTATTCTCGAGCAAGTATTCTTCATGTTCTAATATGGTATCAGAGCCTTCAACGGACTCGTTGACTTGATCAACTCAAGATATGGAGAATTTCTTGTTTCTTCCATCTCTCTGTTTATGTGTGATTAATTTGTGCATAGGTCATAAGGTTGACAAGAATAGATATTCTCTTGTCTAGCCATAAACATATTTTGCAACTTACTTGGATGCTTTTACATATGAAATACTACTCTTTATGCCTTGTGCAATGATCAATATATGACCTAATTAGTAGTAGAGAATTTTGTATATTGCAAGTTGCAACATTCAAATATTAAAACAAATCAAGTACTATTATTTTTTTTGGTTAAACAAATCAAGTATTTCAAGATATTGGAATGTTCAATTTGATGAAAGTTAATGATATACACCAAAGTGTCCTTTAGTTTGTATTAAGGAACGATTTATGTATCTAAATATTTTATTTACAGGATAGTTAATTTTTAGAAATATATTTATTCAAAACATTAGTTAATTATGGATTTGATTATTTATTTTTCAACAAAAGGCAACAGATGGCATATATCATGTTAGGATTACTAAAACTAGTTTGATAAAATATACTAAATAAATCAGGTGAAATGATTCTTCAAACCAGCCTAAAAAAATTAGTCTTATTAATTCTATTTAGAAACAATTAGTTAGTGTGGATGTCCACTACTTTAGAATTCTCCATTATTTCTCGCTATTATGATATTAACATCTCACACCTTCATAATCTTATTCCCTCGTAATCTTCATGATTAATTTCATGTTATGATAACTTTTTGGATGCTTCTATGAACACTAAAAATAAAAAGTATAAAAAATCATGATCTTGTAGATACTTGAGAAACACTTTGAAAAAAAAAAGAAATTTATCTTATGTTATCCTCTCAATTTTATTTTTACATTGTGATTTGAGCTTGATTTTACAATATGTTAATTTAAGACTATTCTTTAATTATTGTGATCATGACATTCAAATTTCAATGAGAGTTTGCATAGTGGCAAGAAAATTTTCTTTTGTGGTCTCAACTTCTATTGACGTGATAATCACTCATTTGACAGATTAATCTGGTAGTGCATCTTATAGCTTTTTGGCTGCCATAAGTTAGGAATTCTACTAACATATGATTTTTGTCTATAAAAATAAGTGCTTAAAAATATATAGATTTTTATTTTATTCAAACATTACACAAATGCTTTAACGTTATTTTAGCTTAACAACACTTAAAATAAGTCAATTCAAACAATCTCTTAAAATGATCTATGATAGGTGAGTAAATCAATAAATGCTTCTGGCTAAAAGCTATATATCAAATCTCTTAATTTCTCCTTAATACTATGTTGGGAATTTTGTTTTCTGATGGTAGTTGTTTGGCTTCAAATTATTTTATTATTGTTTTCGGAAACAACCTCTCTATCTCCACAAGATAGTAATAACTAGTAAGGTTTGCGTACATTTTATCTTTCTCAGACCTCCTTGTGGAATTTCACTGGATATAATGCTATTGTTGAGAAAGGTTATTTGCAAGTATATTGCATGAATGTTCTGCTTTAGGCACGTAGAAGATAATGATAATTATATTGTGGTCCACATTTATCTACATGATTAGTTACTTAGCTTCTTTGAAAGCAATGTTCAGGAATAATAATTTTGTGGATGTAACTCCTAATTTCTATTGATAATTGAGTGAATTGTTGGTTAGACCTAACCTTGCAAGAGGTAATTCTTATTCAGTTGAGTGTGCACTCTTGTCTGGCCAAATATCTTTCAATATGTTCTTATAGTTTCTTAAATGTGATCAAATTTGGTATGTACACACACATCTATGACGTTTGAATTTTTGTGAGTGCCTTCATAGTAAGCTCTAATCAAATATCGGTGGAGGATTTATTTTTAGAACAGTGGACATAACAAAATAATAATATTGACCTTCTATATCACTCTTTTTATATTTAATAAACAAAAGTAAAGAAACAATAAAACGGCAACATTTTTGGGTCTACTAATTTACCAATTGAATTCACCAGAGTGGATGAAGGAATAACTTAAAAAAACAAAACAATTGGCCCATGCAGGTCTCGAACCTGCGACCTTCGCGTTATTAGCACGACGCTCTAACCAACTGAGCTAATGGGCCTTGTTGATACAGAAAAGGTAAGATTACATAAGATCATATGGTAGAGCACTATCAATTATCATTGTTTCATTGTAGTTTTACCGTATAAAATTACTTTTTTCCTTTCATATAAAAGTAGAGAATTATTAGGAGAAGATTGTTAGGACACGAGTAAATATTAAATTGATTGATTATATTTCAATTGAAATAGAATTATTAAAAGAAAATAATTATAAAGATATTAACAATTTTGCATCTGAAAGAGCTAGAGAATTAAACTTGGTAAGAATATATATTGATTTGTTATTTAAACTTTAAAGCCTTCATTCAATTTTCACTTTAGACCATTAATACGCGTCCTTAATTAGCATCTTCAAAAATTAGTAGTTAATGTCAAGAGTAGAAACATAAAGTAAAAAAACGAGTGAACAAGAGAGTAGTACATTAACTTAGCTTGAACAGTTTCTTGTAATTTGACTTGACTACACATGTTTTATCATTGTACATATGCAAGTAATAACCACATTGACACAGTTTCACCATATTAATTCCTCAATTTCAATTGTTCAATTCAATCTAAGAAGAGTAAACCACACTATACTATATACATGATGTTTTCAGTATATGAGATGAGAGTATATATATCTCAATCCCGAATAGAAGCCTTAATAAGCAAGCCAAATAAATGGAGTGGAGCAGAGAAGAATGGGCTATGATCAGTTTCCAATGTGTACACATTCTTTGGAGGCCATTTCTTAATCATTGCATCTTGCTGTTCTGGCTTCACCACTCGATCGTACGCTGTTCTTATGTATATTCGAGGCACTTCCTCTGCACCTTCCCCTTCTTTAAATCGAGCACTAGCTAAAGCTTGAATTGGTCCAGGACGCAACAACATTGCTGCTAATGTTGAGTCCTGTAACAACAATTTAGTTGAGAAACTGTTGAATTATCCTAAAAATGAAATGAAGTGGTAATCTAATCTAATCTATACCTCGAGTGGACTCATTTGGTAAATGATTTTGCGTTGTAAACTTGTTTTAACAACTGCACTGGTTGGAGGTTGCTCTGGTCCTAATCCGAAACACATATCATATACATCAATAGCTTCGCCAAACTCAGATAAATCTGGGATCCCCTGTTTCAACAAACATCCTAGTCAATGCATGCACATATGAATGAGTTGTAATAACAACAAGGGGGGAAAATATAATGAACGTCTCTATTTGACGATTTATATAGTTAAGGCCTTTATACTTTATAATTACATAAAGTACAAATACCTAACATGTTCACTAATAACTGATATATACTACTATTATATTCTCCTTTCAATCAAAGGCGTAATAAAAAAATTCACCCAAAATATTTATTTTTGTTTCCTCATTTTAAATATATATATATATAT